TCTATCTATCCATCTATCTATCTATCCATCTATCCATCTATCCATCTATCTATCCGTCTATTCATCTATCCGTCTATCTATCCGTCTATCTATCTATCCGTCTATCTATCCGTCTATCCATCTATCTATCCATGTATTTATAAGGCTGTTGTGTTAATTTAACAGTCGTTTGGGCTGGATTTCTGCTCGTTTAACTCTACTAATTTGATCACATTGCTAACATCTAATTAATATTCATAAGCTTGCTTGTAATAGTAGCCGTTAATTCGCCCGCTGAGTAGCGCCCGCCTATCGGTCCGCCTTTCAGCCAATCAGCGAGGCCTCCTGGGGCGAGCGTCATGTTACGTAATTAATATTCATGATTCAGGTGATCTCGAGTCCATTTTGGTCAGATGACAGGTTTGTATTTTAATATTTTTTTTTGTTGTTGACATTTTCAGTTTTTCTCTAAACTCTTCCCCAGACACCAGTTTGAAAACCCCTGTGTTACTACATTTTTTTTTTTTTATATCTGTTATATATTTATTTATCTGAATGCAAAGGCTCTTTCTTCTTACACAGACCTGGACGTCAGGTCACAGATGTTTCAGGGCGTCTCTGATTCAGAGCCGACTGATCCCGAGCTGAAGCTGGTGTGTGTGTTGATGTAGAGCCTGTGTGTCTCTCGTCAGGTGTAACTCGGGCTCTGTCACTCTCTGGGAGCCGTATTGGAGAATCAGCGATGCGGTGTGCCCAAAAGACTCGGCTCTTAGGTACACACCTTCAGCTCTAGATCTAGATCCGTCTGTCTCTGGGGTTTGATGTTGAGCTGTTGAGCGCTCGCTGTTAGTGTGTATTCCTGGTTATATGGCTCTAGTGTTGACCGTGTCTGCGTCTCTCTGTGCTGCTGGATGGGGTTTGCAGAACCAGCTGCTGTAAAGCTGTAATTCTTCACTGATCCTGCTGCTGTATCTGTGTCCCGCTCAGGTCCGCTCCTCGGGATCCGGAGCGTCTGGAGCCGGTCGAGCTGGCGGTGGTGGCCTGCGGCTCCAGACTGGAGGAAACACTCATCATGCTGAAATCTGCTGTTCTCTTCAGCCAAAGACGCTTGCGCTTTCACATTTTCGCGGAAGACGACCTCCATGCCGGCTTCAGACAGGCGGTGAGCACATATATGAAGAGTATTCGCTGTATATTCATGGTGGGGTTAGGGCAAAACATAAATTAAGCAACACTTTTAGAGGACGTTAAAAAAAGTGCATTGTATTTATAATGCAATTTTCTCATACCCAAAGCGCTACAAAACAGGAAATGGATGTAAAATACAGAAATTACAAACATGATACAATACAGTAAATAAATAACTCAACACCTTATTGGAAATAACAGATTAATATCTTTTGTGATTCAAACTTAACTGTTTTAGAGTAAACTGCTACGTTTAAAACCTCTGACTCAAACATGTTAACGGAGTGGCTTTTAAAATGTATTAACATGTTTTAGGAACAATATGAGCAGGTAAATATTGCTATTTTACTGATGCATGTAAATGGAAATTATTAAATAGGCTATACTTCTTTCTTGTGTTCATTTTGTGGAAAACTTGATTAAACCTTTACTTGCACAAAAAAATGTCAGCGCAAAAATGTACTCGGCTAAAAGCTAACAACGTTCTGGCAAAGTTATGAACAAAAACGGTAACATAAATACATAAATAGAGTGGTGGTTCAAGGTTAACTGGTCTTTAATAATGTTCTCAAAATGTTATTATGGAGTTTCCACATTCATGGAACAGATTTCTAAAAAAAAAAAATTAGTTTTTAAATGTTGCTACTTGTTTCAGAACGTTCTGACAACATTCAAAAGTAACGCTCACATAATGTTTGCAAAATGATGAATGTTCATGTAACGTTCAAATAATGTTTTTTTTTTTTTTTTAAACTAAAAAAAAACTGCATTTTTGAATGTTCAGAGAAACACAGAAGTAACGTTTTCATAATTTAAAGCAAAACATTCTTAGCATATTTTTGCTCAAACGGTTGAATAGTATAGCTTAATATTAACTCAAAATTTTTCCTCTGCACACTAATCTGGGAGAAACCGCACTAAAAAATGTCAGAGCAAAAACATGCTCAGCTAACAGGGAATGTTTTTAGAACGTTCTGGCAAAGTTATGAACAAAAACGTTATTCCAGTAACATTAATAGAATGTTTGTTCAAAGTTATCTGGTCTTTAATGTTCTCAAAACACTAGCACAAATCATTATATTTACAACATTCATGGAACGGATTTCAAAAAAATTTAGTTAGGCATTCGTCTAATGTTTTTAAATGTTTCAGAACGTTCAGAGAACATTCAAAAAGTAACGTTCACATAATGTTTGCAAAATGATGAAATGGAATGTTCATGTAACGTTCAAATAACCAAGAAGAAACATTTTTAAAACGTAAAAAAAATGGATGTTTTGAGAAATTCACAAGTAACAATTTCTGCATTTAAAGCAAAACTTTCTTATTTGTTAGCTGGGTAGATCAAGATATATATAGTGAATATCCTCAAACGGTTGAATAGTACAGCTCAGAATTTTTCCTCTGCACACCAATCTGAGAGAACCAGCACAAGTTGACCTTCATGAAATCCCGTCTGTGTCGTGCAGCTGGAGTCGTGGCCGCAGAGGTTTCGCTCCAAGTTCAACTACAGCGTTTATCCCATAAGCTTCCCCAGCGATAGCGCCAGAGAGTGGAAGAGACTCTTCAAACCCTGCGCTTCACAGAGACTCTTCCTTCCCGTGAGTATCTGAACCGAGCGAGAGACGCCGTGACGCAGTAATGTTCATGTAACGTTCAAATAATGTTTTTTTTTTTTTTAAACTAAAAAAAAAAACTGCATTTTTGAATGTTCAGAGAAACACAGAAGTAACGTTTTCATAATTTAAAGCAAAACATTCTTAGCATATTTTTGTTAGCTGGGTAGATCAAGATATAGAGTGAATATCCTCAAACGGTTGAATAGTATAGCTTAATATTAACTCAAAATTTTTCCTCTGCACACTAATCAGGGAGAAACCGCACTAAAAAATGTCAGAGCAAAAACATGCTCAGCTAACAGTTTTTAGAACGTTCTGGCAAAGTTATGAACAAAAACGTTATTCCAGTAACATTAATAGAATGTTTGTTCAAAGTTATCTGGTCTTTAATGTTCTCAAAACACTAGCACAAATCATTATATTTACAACATTCATGGAACGGATTTCAAAAAAATTTAGTTAGGCATTCGTCTAATGTTTTTAAATGTTTCAGAACGTTCAGAGAACATTCAAAAAGTAACGTTCACATAATGTTTGCAAAATGATGAAATGGAATGTTCATGTAACGTTCAAATAACCAAGAAGAAACATTTTTAAAACGTAAAAAAAATGGATGTTTTGAGATATTCACAAGTAACAATTTCTGCATTTAAAGCAAAGCATTCTTATTTGTTAGCTGGGTAGATCAAGATATATATAGTGAATATCCTCAAACGGTTGAATAGTACAGCTCAGAATTTTTCCTCTGCACACCAATCTGAGAGAACCAGCACAAGTTGACCTTCATGAAATCCCGTCTGTGTCGTGCAGCTGGAGTCGTGGCCGCAGAGGTTTCACTCCAAGTTCAACTACAGCGTTTATCCCATAAGCTTCCCCAGCGATAGCGCCAGAGAGTGGAAGAGACTCTTCAAACCCTGCGCTTCACAGAGACTCTTCCTTCCCGTGAGTATCTGAACCGAGCGAGAGACGCCGTGACGCAGTCACAGTCTTTTGTGATATATCTTTTTATTTATGCAACATAAAATAATGAAAAAATGATGTCTTGTTGTCAGGATTGATGTATGTTAATGACAAGTGAATGTTTCTATTCAGTAAATCTGCCGGAATTCAAATGATTTAAGCAGGTTTTCTTTGCTATACTTTGAGGTTTGAGTTCATTTTGTGTACTATATATACATTACTCTTTGCCTGTAAATGTGAATAACTCTCTTCTGATCATCATTTTATGATATATAGCTGTTACTGGAAATACTGAATAACCCAGAAACCATGTTATTGTGTGTATATTATGTATTTAATAATAGATATGAAGCAGAAATGCATTGCTTACACACTTTCACACATCAGCTGTTTCTATTCAGTAAATCTGCCTGAATCCCGATGATTTAAGCTGTTTTATGAGGTATTTAATATATATATGATATGAAGTAGGTGTGTAAGGTCTTTGAAGTGTAATAAGTGACTAGGGTTGGGAATCAAGTACTTTTTTTTTTTTTTTTTTAAAATATATATATATGCATTTGTCTTTGAATCATTCATTCAAGAGATTCGTTCAAACACACTGATTCATCCTGCAATGAAACGAGTGAATCTTCAGTGAGTCATTGAGTCATTCCATTCATAAATTCCATGAGATTTAGTTTAGTTGTCTGATATTTTTTTTCCTTCAGAATTGTGAGAGAACAAGTCTCAGTTTATCCAGAACGGTGCAGCTCTATTTTGCACGCAAACAGCTCTAAATCGAGTCCAGTTTTTATGCAGCCGGCTGATTTTTGTTCATGGTATTCAGCAGCAATTAAATGTTTTGCAAAAAGAGACACAGAATAAATATGTTTGACTTCATGTTTGGAATCGATCAGAATCGTAATTGATCAAATTGAAAGCACACCCATCCCTCTAAGTGCCTGAAGTGGCTCTCTCAGCTGATTTTGAAGCAGGTGGACTCTGTGCTGTATGTGGACACGGATGTGCTGTTCCTGCGGCCGGTGGAGGACGTCTGGAGCTTTCTGTCCCGGTTTAACAGCAGCCAGGTGGCAGCGATGGCCCCGGAGCACGAGGAGCCGCACATCGGCTGGTACAATCGCTTCGCTCGACACCCGTACTACGGCAAGACCGGCGTCAACTCCGGAGTCATGCTCATGAACATGACACGCATCAGAGACAAACACTTCAAGGTACAGCACTCCCGGGACTCATGCATTTAACAGCTGGTTAACTGACGAGACACACTCATGATTAAACAGAGGTGTTGGCCTTAAGATCCGAAAAAATCACAACAATGATTAAGACATTTCTCTCATACATATATGTGCATTTTAGCCTAAATTAAATGATTTTACTTTTCATTTGTGAACCCGTTGAGGACAGATTGATATTTTGGCCCAGCTGATGGATATTTAGTCATTTTGAGATTAATTGTCTTTAATGGACACTGAGGAGTTAAAGCAGCAAAATAAAGAAAATATTGTAAAATATTGAAAACATGATGGCCGGTATATATTGCATTTCAATGCATACACTTTATCTTTTAACTTTAAATTGGGGGGGGGGGACTAATAAATAAATGCACTAAAGAGTTAACAGGATTGTTATTACTTGGATCTAATAAAATTATTAAATAAATTAAGACATTTCCCAAATATGTCAAAACAGCAGAATAATTTCAATACAGCCATAAAATGATGAAAAACCTAAAATATTAAAATATTATGACCAGTATCTATTGCATCTCAATGCATACACTTTATCTTTCAAATACAAAAATATTATATATATATGTATATATATACACATACATTTTTTCAATCAATTTAAGGTTAAAAGATAAAGTGTATGCATTGAGATGCAATAGATACTGGTCATAATATTTTAATATTTTAGGTTTTTCATCATTTAATGGCTGTATTGAAATTATTCTGCTGTTTTGACATATTTGGGAAATGTCTTAATTTATTTAATAATTTTATTAGATCCAAGTAATAACAATCCTGTTAACTCTTTAGTGCATTTATTTATTAGTCCCCCCCCCCCAATTTAAAGTTAAAAGATAAAGTGTATGCATTGAAATGCAATATATACCGGCCATCATGTTTTCAATATTTTACAATATTTTCTTTATTTTGCTGCTTTAACTCCTCAGTGTCCATTAAAGACAATTAATCTCAAAATGACTAAATATCCATCAGCTGGGCCAAAATATCAATCTGTCCTCAACGGGTTCACAAATGAAAAGTAAAATCATTTAATTTAGGCTAAAATGCACATATATGTATGAGAGAAATTTCTTAATCATTGTTGTGATTTTTTCGGATCTTAAGGCCAACACCTCTGTTTAATCATGAGTGTGTCTCGTCAGTTAACCAGCTGTTAAATGCATGAGTCCCGGGAGTGCTGTACCTTGAAGTGTTTGTCTCTGATGCGTGTCATGTTCATGAGCATGACTCCGGAGTTGACGCCGGTCTTGCCGTAGTACGGGTGTCGAGCGAAGCGATTGTACCAGCCGATGTGCGGCTCCTCGTGCTCCGGGGCCATCGCTGCCACCTGGCTGCTGTTAAACCGGGACAGAAAGCTCCAGACGTCCTCCACCGGCCGCAGGAACAGCACATCCGTGTCCACGTACAGCACAGAGTCCACCTGCTTCAAAATCAGCTGAGAGAGCCACTTCAGGCACTTAGAGGGATGGGTGTGCTTTCAATTTGATCAATTACGATTCTGATCGATTCCAAACATGAGGTCAAACATATTTAT